AGATGAAATGTCTTATCAGATTTTATAGAGATTTTGAAAACGCAAGAAGCTGTGTATATACTGTGCATGTTTCTTAATATCTGATTTAATTGAACTGAAATAGTTTATGTTGATTTACAAGCTTTTCTGCAGTTAAATCAGTATGTCCAAATGAGACCCATGGCTCTATTGACAACATTTTAACTCTCCTTTCCCTACCTGTTGTCATTTCCTCTCCCCTTTAACTCATTTTTTATAAAATGTGTGTAGATTGAGCAGCAAGGAGGGAGAAAGCTACTTTTGAACCATGTTCGACGTTTGAATCATGTCTAGCTTTTGATTCCAGCCTTTCTCTGATAAATTCAAGTTGAAAGGATCATGGTCTTGTTTTGCATCTGCTGTACCTTTTTCCTTCCTTCCTTCCTTCCTTCTTTCTTTCTTTCCTGCCTGCCTGCCTGCCTGCTTGCCTTACTGTTAGAATTTGCTGCACTGTGCAAGAACTGTTCAGAAAAGAGATTCTGAATAAGGAAAAATCTGTTTAGCAAACTCAAAACAAAAGAAGAGTTACCCTCACAGATTGCTGAATTTTTAATTTTTGTCCGGTCACCTGTTCTTCTCTCTTTCTTTCCTTTCTAATAAAAATATATATTCACCTAAATCTTTTTTCTTGGTCATTTACTAAACGTGAGTGCACAAAAGCATGGTTACATAGTCAACAGGCTGTATATAGATGTTTTAAATAAATTAATATAAATACTAGGATAACTCTGGCTTTAATAAGCACCACATTTAACAGCGAATTCAAGCATTATTTTAACTATAAAAATATATAGGTACATATAAAAGTTAAAATGTAAACAATTGCTTTTCCAAATGTCTGTGAGAATGTCTTCCCCCACAACCAGAGTTCAGATTTAAATTGACTTTTACATTTCCTGATGAGATTAGTAGATTTATTTGTGAAGTAGAATAATGTACAAATGTAAGCAATCTTATGTTAAATACAAACTGTTTTAGAATAGAATAGAATACCAGAGTTGGAAGGGACCTTGGAGATCTTCTAGTCCAATCCCCTGCTTAGGCAGGAAACCCTATACAATTTCAGACAAATGGTTGTCCAATCTCTTCCTAAAAACTTCCAGTTTTGGAGCATTCACAATTTCTGGAGACAAGTTGTTCCACTGATTAATTGTTCTAACTGTCAGGAAATTTCTTCTTAGTTCTAGGTTGCTTCTCCCCTAGATTAGTTTCCATCCATTGCTTCTTGTCCTGCCCTCAGGTGGTTTGAAGAATAAGTTGATTCCCTCTTCTTTGTGGCAACCCCTGAGATATCAGAACACTGCTATCATGTCACCCTAGTCATTCTTATCATTAAACTAGACATACCCAATTTTTGTAGAATAAGAATTACAATTTGCTCTTAAAGTTTATTCTTCCATATCCTCATGCTTTAAATATTTTGAGTTGTAACTAATTATCTTTCTTTTTTTAAAAGCAAGGTTGCTAACCCCATCATCCAAAAAATCATGCATTGTAAAAGAAGGCTGTTCTATAGTAAATTAATCAGCTCTCCCACATCGTCTCATCAAAGTAATTACTATTATTAGGTTGAGATAGGGCACAAGAAGTAACCAAACTGGATCTGGCATACAGAGTCACAAAATAACAAGTTGAATGTCAAAGGCTGGCAGATACACTGGGGAATCCAATAGCCTATTTATTTCCACTCATCTCTCACAAGAGAGCTAGTTTGATGTTGTGGTTAACACACACCAGATTAAAAAAATGGAAGACTGTGAGCTCTAGTCCTGCTTTAGGCACAAAGCCAGCTGGGTGATTTTAGGCCAATCACTCTCTCTCAGCCCTAGGAAAGAGGCAATGGCAAACTACTAAAATCTTGCCAAAACTGCAGGAACTCAACCAATCAAAAAAGTCACTCAAAGGCACATACGCATACACATGATCTATCTCAAGTATCAATGGTTATTTTCTAGAGTTCCTCTCAATGTTATTTTCTAAAGTTCCTCCTAATGTCTCCTTTCTCGCATGAGTGCTCTCGGCCCCACTTGTGTGAGCATTGCAGGTGCTCTCAGTCCCATTCGCGCAAGCAGCAGGTGCTTGTCTGCCATGCTCCTAACCCTTGCACAAAACTATCCCCTTTCTCCCCTCCCCTCTAGGATACCAACTCGGAAATGTTGGGGAATTCTGCTTTAGAGAGTATATACTAGACATCCAGGAAAAGGAGGACGAAAAGATGTTCATGACTTTCATCTGGCAGGCATAGCAGGGGTGGGTTCTAATTTCTTTTACTACCGCTTCTGTGGGCGTGGCTTATTTTGTGGGCATGGCTTGATGGTCATGTGACAATTCTTTAGGATTTAGCAGAGGTACTGGTCTACCACGCTTTTAACTGCTTGCAGAGCTGGTCTTCTCATTTGTTTTTGGAGGCACCGGTCTACACATTTGTTTTTGGAGGCACCGGTCTACTCATTTGTTTTTGGAGGCATTGGTCTACCCATTTATTTTTGCAGGCACCGGTCTACTCATTTATTTTTGCAGGCACTGGTCTACCCATTTATTTTTGCAGGCACCAGTCTACTCATTTGTTTTCTTTTAACACTGATCAGCTGTAGGGCGGCCCTTTGAAGCCCCACGGCAAGAGTTTAAACAGTTTTTTTTCCTCTAGCCGATCAGCTGGGACTCAGGAAGCAGCAATAGATTGGGGGTGGGGGCAAATAAAAGGTAAGAATAATGCAGGGGGGGAAGAACCGGTTTGATGATGTCATATTGTCACCGCTACCAGCTCGGCAGAACTGGGTTGAACCAGGAGGAACCCACCACTGAGGCATAGCCTTAAAATCAAATACTGTATGGCTTTTTGAATGTTTTGTTTTGTTTTTAAAAAATGTTTGACTGTTTCCACAATAGTAGTCATTAAAGCTTTTCTGTAGTATGATCTTGTAAATTGTCTGCTTCTTTCTTTCCCTTATCTGTCAATATGCTGAGTACCCTAGATTAATTTAACATTTTTAATTTCATCTTTGGTTTCAATTTATTTTTTATGATTGTAAGCTTCCCAGAGAACCTTATTGGTAAGATGGGTGGCCAATAAATAAATAAATAATTTATTCCTTTGTTCCAGCAATTAGATTCAATCCAGCTCCTTCAAATCTATGATCACTATAGTCTGTAGATCACAAAATTTGAAAAGCATGTTGTCAATTCTATATGATCACTAGCATAAGTTCTTGAAAATAAAGTTTTTGGGGACATTGTGAATGAAAAAACACAATACTGGAAAAGGTAATTTCATGTGCATATAGTCCTAAGTACATTTTTGCAGCTTTTCACCGTGATTTTTATAGTGGATGTCAAGTAGTTAAACAGTAGTTAAACTCCTTTTCTCCCCATTTGACCTCCTTTCCAATTGTCTGTGTCCTCCTTTGCCTGTTCAGATATCTGATAATTATACCCTATAGACTCTATCTGTGTAAATCAAAGGAGACTGAGATAATTGCACAGACTCCTCACTGTGAAAATTTTTATCCTGACCCTTGGCAAAGGCGAAACAACCATTGTTAAATAAATTTTCCAGACCACCCAGATAAATTTTACATTCAATATCTATTCAGAGACAAAGAGGTCAAAAGTTACATATTCATTTGCAAAATGTTGACATATAGCTACAAGGCCTTGTAACCTCGGGGCTGAAATAATTTTGTAAATAATTTAGGACAAAATTATAGATTTCTTATTATTTTCTACTGGTTCCAGTGGTGGGATTCTGCTGGTTCTAGGCAGTTCGGCTGAATCGTTTGTTAAATTGCTGGCTCGCCCCGCCCCTCGCCCCGCCCCTCCGCACCACTATTTATTGCCAATAAATAGTGGTGGGAGGGGCGGGGCGAGGGGCAGGTGAGCCAGCAATTTAACAAACGGTTCAGTGTTTTTCTGTAATTTATTGGCCTCGTGGCACACCGAACCGTTTGTTAAATTGCTGGCTCGCCCGCCCCTCACCCCACCCCGCCTCCCACCTGTGCGGTGCCAGCCTACCCTAGCCAGGAGTGGGCAATTGTGGCTCTTTTACAACCTGTGGACTTCAACTCCACAGTTGAAGTCCACAGGTTGTAAAAGAGCCACAATTGCCCACCCCTTCCCTAGCCCATCCAGTTGCTGGGGGAGACGTGCGACTTTTCTCCGCCCTGGAACACTGGCTGCCCAGGCTGCAGCCGAAGCTCCACATCATAATGGGCTTCAGGAGGAGGAGGGGCGCCGTCTGCCCCATTGCGAAGCTCAGTAAGAGCAACAAGAGCTGGCTGCAGTGGGGTGCAGGCTTAAGGTGCTGCCTCCAAGCCGAGGGGCGACCTGATGGTGCGGTAGGTTCGCTGCCACCGCTGCCCAGACAGGAGAGGAGAAAGAGATGGAGAGAAAGAGAAATGAAGGAGAGAAATGGGGGGAGAAAGAGATGAAGGAGAGAACGGGGGAAAGAGAGATGAAGAAGAGAAAGGGGGAGAGAGAAAAAGATGGAGAGAAAAAGAAATGGAGGAGAGAAAGGGGGGAGAAAGAGAGATGAAGGAGAGAAGGGGGGAAAGAGATGAAGGGGAGAAAGGGGGAGGGAGAAAGAGATGGAGAGAAAGAGAAATGAAGGAGAGAAAGGGGGAGAAAGAGAGATGAAGAAGGGGGAAAGAGATGAAGGGAAGAAAGGGGGAGGGAGAAAGAGATGGAGAGAAAGAGAAATGAAGGAGAGAAAGGGGGGAGAAAGAGAGATGAAGGAGAGAAATGGGGGAGAAAGAGAGATGAAGGGGAGAAAGAAAGATGAGAGAGATGAAAGAGACACCCAGCAATACCTGTTTAAAAGAAAATACTGGGAGCCACAAAACCTGGGTGGGAGTAAGTGATATGGAGTTGGCAATGCCCACCCAGGTTTAAGGTTGTGTTTAAGTGTTTACATGTATTTAAGGTTGAGTGTTTAAAGTTGCAGACCCCTGACCTACCCCATCCGATCGCTTCACCCTGCAGCCAGCCCTGTAGGCCTTCACATGCCTCCCACATGGGCAGCAGCAGCCTACCTACCCCGGTTGTATCACCTTGCCCTGCAGCCGGCCCAAACACCCGCCTCGGACTGTCTCCGACTGCTCCAGCAGGTCATTTTTATTTAATTAATTTAATTAAGAATGCTGCAATGGGCATAAATGATGATCAGTCAAAAGTGTGAGGACCTGTCAGAAATCACTTTTTTCAGCCCTCTGGGTAGTCTCTATGTGCATATGGACTACTCAGAGGGCTGAAAAAGTTATTTTTGACCAGTCCTCGCACTTTTGACCAGTCCTTGAACTTACGACTGTCCTCACATTTTACGTTTTGCGCCCTATCTTGTCACCATGGTGAAGAGAAGTAATGGTGAAATGACTGACACGGTTGTTAAGAATCCACAACGGGCATAAATGTGAGGCTGGTCATAAGTGCGAGAACCGGTCAAAAATGCAAGGACCAGTCAGAAATGACTTTTTTCAGCCCTCTGAGTAGTCCCTATGCACATAGCCACGCCCACCCGGTCACATGACCAGCTAGCCACGTCTACCCAGTCGCATGACCAGCTAGACACACCCATCCAGTCATATGACCACCAAGCCACACCCCCAACTAAGCCACGCCCACAAAACCGGTTGTTTAAAAAATTGAATCCCACCACTGACTGGTTCTATCTATTAATTTGTGGTTTATACTTATTTCACTTTAGCTGCTGTCTCATCTTAGACAGTAATAAAATTTTCATTATCCAATCTATCAAAAGATTTTCTTTATACTTAAAAGAAAACATACAAATCTTTTCAGGGAAAGTAGGTTGTTTTCTCAAGAAGAAATTGGTGAAAAGATAGCCTGTTAACTTCTCACTCAACAAAGGAAAATAACCATAGCGCTCAGTCCAGTAAGATGGAAGGAGTGGAAAATACCATGGAGCTGCCATCCCATATTTCCCTGTAACGAGAATAGTGACAAAAATAGGAGAGAGATTGAAAGGTTCTGTAGTAACATTTTGATATTATCTCAACAATATCAGGCCTAAAAAAAGTAATAGATTAGCTTTGTGTGATTTCATCATTTCAAAGTATGAGAATACTGTTCTCTTCCCAAACAATAAACATCTACATTATTTCAACTGAACATTTGACTGCTAAATATTCATGTGAAATCAAAGGTAGGCATTTCTGAATTTATCTGAAATGAAATCTATGAAAATAGAGCAGGAAACAGTATGCTGCAGAATTCATTTGAATATTTTCCTGTGTGAGATCATTGACACTTCCACATAGCAGTTATTACAACAAGAAGCACCCTGCTTTGAAGAATTAATTCCTTCTATTTCTGTTTAAAAAGCCTCTGCTAACTATGAAGCTAAAAGAATAGCATGGTAGCAGTTTTGCAGCTAGGCTGCTATAGACAAATCTTTACAAGTGGGGAAATGGATGGGATGGAGAATAACAGCTTTTTTTTTTTTCTGGGATTCTTGGGAATAACCAGAAGAATTAAAGTCACATTTGTTGATTAAACTACTTGTTCTCATTTCCCAGATAATTTCAGCAGCCTCTGAACAAGGAAGAACAAAATCTGTTGAAGGGCAATCCAATTCAATCCAACCAAGAACCAATATAACAAAATAAACTTGGCTCTGACTTCAGATTAATCAGTGCAGAATGAGAAAAATATTAATTCTTTATCACAAGAACTGACTATCCAAAATCAATCTGAAGTGGCACGCAGAGACGTTTGAAGGAGCCTTATTTCTTCAAATTAGAGCTCAAATTATGTCACTCTTTTTTTTTTTTTAATTTGATTTATATGCCGCCCTTCTCCGGAGACTCAGGGCGGCTTACAATGCGTTAAGCAATACTCTTGAAATGCTTCAAAAACTATTTCTCGTTGTCATCAGTCATTATTCTGTATATAAGTAGTAATACAATGATGTTACCTTAAACTCCATTAAAATCTATCCTTTTCCCCTATCCAGAATCACCAAATATAGATATTAGTCTGAAAGATACATGTCATTTGAAGAAAGACAATATCACACAGTGGATGGTTTTAGTGATTTCCCAGAAATAATGATAGCATTGATATTATAGGATAATTTGCCCTAACTTTATATTTTTAATTGTCAAATCGTATCCATCAAAATACAATATTTTGTTGGTCAGAAGCCAGAAAGAAGAGATAGAAAGGTTAACAGGATTTGAAATAGTTAAGAAGGTTAAATATTTAGGGGTTTATATTATGACTGCAAATATGAAATTATATCAGCATAATTATGAACCGTTATGGCAAAAAATACAGAAAGAGATGGAAAATTGAAAAAAATTACAACTGTCTTTGCTGGGTAGGATAGCCACTGTAAAAATGAATATCTTACCAAAATTTTTATTTCTTTTTCAATGATACCTATACTTAAAAAAGATGAAAATTTGAAGGAATGGCAGAAGGGCATAAACAAGTTTGTGTGGGCAGGGAAGAAACCGCGAGTTAATCAAAAGATAATGCAAGACACCTGAGAAAGAGGTGGTCTTAAAATGCCTAATTTAAGATTGTATTATGAAGCCGCTACCCTCTCAGCAATTACAGATTGGATAAATTTAACAGAGGAAAAGATATTGAATATTGAAGGATATGGGCTGGTCTACGGCTGGCATGCTTATCTATTGTATGACAAGAAAGTAGATAAGACTTTTAAAAGTCACATATTAAGTAATGCTCTATTGCGTGTCTGGAAAAAGTATAAATATAAATTAAATGATAAGTTACCAATATGGACAGTACCCAGACATGCGATAGAGAATATAAATTTGGAGCAAAAGCAAGATAAGATTACATATAAGGAACTCCTTTATAAGGAAGGAGTCAGATTACAACTAAAATCTATGGAGCAATTAAGAGAAGAAGGAATTATTAGGACTTGGTTTCAGTATGGTCAGCTGCAGGCCAGATGGAGAGAAGATCAAAAAACTGGTATTTTGCAGCAGGATGAGAATTTGATAAAGCAAATAAGAGATAAAGGTCAAATGCATATAAAAAGGTTGTATAATGTATTAGTGGAAATAGATTCGGAAACAGAGCTAGTAAGGATTGTATGATAAAATGGGCACAAAACATAGGTGAAGCAATAATGATGGAAACATGGGAAAAGATATGGGTTAGAAATGTAAGATTGACACAAGCTCAAAATTTAAGAGAGAACTTTTATAAAATGTTTTATAGATGGCATTTAGACCCCAAAAAAACTAGCCTGCATGTATCCAAATTTACAACCCAAGTGTTGGCGATGTGAGTGTGAAGATGCTACATATTTTCATATATGGTGGACATGTAAAAAAATTAAGGCCTTTTGGATTAAAATATGGTGGATTATTCAAAATATTTTAAGGAAAAAAAATAAATTTACACCACAGTTTTTTCTGTTGGGAATAGTTACGGATTGTACTGTAATAGAGACTAAGTTGGTTTTGAACTTAATAACAGCTGCCAGGTTACTGGTGGCACAGTATTGGAAGAAGGAAGATCCACCCACCATTTGAGGAATGGACACTAAAAGTTGTGCATTTGGCAGAGATGGCAAAAATTTCATCATACCTTAAAGACCATTCAAATGAAAGATACATATCAGAATGGAGAAGATGGATTGACTATATACAAAAAAAGTATCTGAACAAGAAGATTCATATAGCTTATGAATGAAATATTTTTAAGTAGTTCATGTTTATAGTTTTTTGAGTTATAAGGAATTAAAGACTTAGGGAGAATATGAATGCAATAATTTGTTAGCATATTTTAGCTTTATGTTTGTGAATGCTATACCCTGTGCCTGTTCTGGGAAGTCTGGGGGGGGGGGAAAGAGGGGGAGGGGGGTGGGAGGGGTGGAGGGGGGAAGGGTGGGGGGGAGAAAATGTTTGTATTTCCTATAAAACTTTTCAATAAAATAAAATACAATATTTTGTATTTTATATAAATACAATAACAAATACAAATACAATAACCACTGTTACATACCTGGAAAAACATTCCTGATATACCAGCCCAGAATGAAATAAATAAAAGAATCTATCAGAATTAACCAGCACATCCAGCTAAAATTAGTATTGTCCCCTGACATTGGTGAGTCATGCATATTATCCCACTGCAGACCTATAAAAAAGATGGGGGATACACAGAATAACCTGCATTAGCAAATGAACACACAGTATTTAATTTATGCTATTAAGATTTTTTTTTAAACAAAATGTATATATAGATATATACCAATGCCTTGTTCTTCGTAACGGGCAATATACTGGCTTGCATAGCTGAATGCAGTTGGAGATAAAAGGCTCTGGAAAAAAACAGGAAGAAAGGTAACTAACTGAAATATTTGCAAACATGTGGAACACACACACACACAGTTAGTCTTGAACAATAGAAAACATAGCAGTAATAGAACACAAGGATGATTTGGCTCTAGTTGTGGTGATTTGATTATTTAAACACATCTCCAAACTCATTAGTAGTAGTTATGTCCCATCTTTCCAACAAGAATCATGTTCACAACTATTCTTTAGGTAACTGAGTTAGAGGCAATGACTTATTTTAAGCTTTGTTATTTAAGCTTATTTATTTTTATTTTAACTTATTTTAATAAGCTTCATCATCCAGCCCAATTTTAACCAGAATAATATATCTAAACTCATTATTATTCTACTGTACAGTATATTTTGAAAGTAAACATTTGTTGAAAACCAAATTTTAATTTGATTTAGAACAGATGCATTCGATATTCAATTCAAACAATTTGTGGAAGGAATGCTAATACCTTATTCAGAACTCTCACTAAATAGCTTGCCTATTCACAAAATTGTTGTTTGGCTGATAATACAAAATTGAGAGCTTATCATTCCCACCATTTCTATGTGTTGAAGACTCTTTTTTAAAAAAGAAAAAACTCCAAGGGCTGGAAGGGACCTTGGAGATTTTCTAGTCTAACCTCTGCCCAAGGCAGGAGTCCTTGTTTCATCCTGGACAAATATTTTTTTTCAAATATTGTGTATGAAGAGGGTTTGGCAGGGACTTTGTTAATAATATATTATCACTTTCTTTTTAATTTGATGGCTATGTTTTTTCCCCTTTTTACTACTCTCAAAACCAGTAGAAAACAACAATAACAATCCTATTTGGTTGATCTGTGAAATAATTTTTTAAACATTTCCATATTAGGTGCCCAGTGAGTAAGGATTACAGTTGTGATGGGGCAGCACCAGTGGTGGGTTGCCCCCAGTTTGGACCGATTCTCAAGAACTGGAAGTAAAACTGGCGGGAGGCTCCGCCCACTGACCCAGACATCATCAGAAGTGATCTGTGCATGTGCAGAAGAGCGCGCGCATGTGCGAGCAAAGCAAGTGTGCACGCGTGGGCACAATGCGAACCGGTAGTAAAGGTAAGTAGAACCCACCCCTGGGCAGCACCATCACAGGAGATATGTTTTGTGCAATAAAGGACCCAGATTCAGTACTTGGCAAGTCAAATGGATATTTCAGGCATCCTAACAATTTCCATCTCAAGCAGTGAAGTGCCATATTCAATTAAAATGGGGCGTTACTTGACATACCAAAAACCAGTTTCTAATGTTCATGCTACTATTGTCTGTGGCTGCAAGACAAAGCAAACCCAAATCTATAGGTAGATTGCTTCCCTCACAAAAGTCCAATTGTAAACTCCTTTTTTCTAGAAAACAAAGACAGATTTACCAGTAGGCTCTTGATGGTAAAGCTCATCTGATTTTCAACAACTAGGAGGACAATGAAGGGGAAAAAGGCCAGGATGTAGACCAGGCAGCCAACCAAAGCAGCAATGTTTGTATTGTTGAAGAATACACTGATGAGATAGCACATGGCTATGATGGAGAAGCTGTAGTCCAGAATGTACAGGAACAAGATCACAACATTTATTTTTGGAAGGATATTCCCAAATTTGAGAATAAAAATAAGAAATATGTTAGTAAGCAGGAGAAATGTGATGCATTCGATGAACCAAGCAAAGAAGTGACTGCTGGAATTTACACCCATCATCTTCATATACTATGGAAAAGAAAAAAAAATGAAAACTTCTTAATGAGTAAAATGCATAATCTATAGTTCAATTGTAATCCTTAAATATCGAGTCATTAAGACACATTTTATCAACTTGTCTTCTAAAACAGAAAGGTTCAGTAGTAGTATGCATTATTACAGTAGCTTCATTTCTATAGCCTTGGAAAAGCTAGTTTATAGGTCACATGCAAATGTCAACCCACTACAGCTCACACTTCATGAATTGTGGATCAAATCCTTTTCCATCCCAGTTCCTATTGTTGAATCTCAGACCAAGAGACAAGCTAGAATACCTATTATAAATAGAGAAGTGGGAATCTCTATCTTGTAATGGACTATTTAAAAAAAAAACTCAGCCAAATAATTAAATAGCAAATAGTTTACCTCCTCTCTCAAAAAACAAAAACAAAACCAGTCCCTCATTCTAGTGGAAGCCAATCCATTGAACAAATCATATAGTTCTTTTTGAAATATGGCCAACTTAAAATTCTAGGGTATTTTTTTTTTCTTCTCTATTGCAAATATTCATAACACAATTGTTAGTTGGTAGAGAAGATTTAAATCTGAGTTAGTGAAAAG